TGGGGTTGAGCTCAATCTTTTTTGCTCCTACTACTTCTTATTCTATTACACCACCTTGAATCTTACATTGTAGAATCAGTTGATGCTGCAAACTTTCAGTTTAACCTCTCTGTGAATCAACACTTTTGATATCCAGCATCATGTATTAAAGAATTATAAATAAGATGGCTCTGAAGATCGCCAACATAATTCAATGGTGGTATCCTTGGCATCATCAGTTACTTTCTGGATTTGATTTATAATAGTATTCCCATTACAACAATCTGGAAATTTGCAAATATGTGCATGGAGGTATATGGATGCATTTGATAAGGCTTATACTTAGAAGGAAAGAGTAAAAAGTATAAATCACATAATTGATTATTACTGACAAATGTTCTAAAAAACGCCTCTATGTTGAGTGCAAAGATTTTAAAGGCAGATGCTTACATAAATAAAATGTGCTTTTTGCATCCGTTCACATTATCTGACTAACTTATTATTATCACATGTCAATTCGAAAGCACTTTTCCTCATTAAATACTTTCTAAATGTTCAGCGTATGCTGTTTTGCTACATTTCAATTAGTTTTTGACATCGCAAGTTTGTTTAATTGCGTTATTGATGAAATGGTTCTTCCTGTATTGATTATCCAAAGACTGCACAATTGTAAACGTTTCTATATATAACGCGGGGTTAATACAATGTTGTTAGTCTAACGTCACTCACAAAGCGGGTAAATAAGCACATCGCCCTTCCTCTGCTCTCACAACGAAAGACTTCACAATCAGGATTGCATCATGCATGCAGAGAGGTTCGTTAATTCTTATGTTGACCGAATATCAGAAACCGTACATTTGCTATGAGTGAATATTGCTTTCAATGTTCGACCCAAAGAGTTTCTATGTCAGATTCTTGTGTTATCTACACTAAATTATCAGTGTCATCATTCCTCCATTCTGCTTTAGAACTAGTTTGATTTTTGACCTGATGATAATGAACTACTCAAATCTCCAGCACCTTTGTCATATTTTATGTGTCAAACTCTGTCAGCCGTAGGCCATTCGAACTTGGCATTGATTTGTACCACAGACAGATTTACGGATTTACAACGTACCCCTGAATTGGATTTACATAGACCCTGTAATTAATGGAATTGCGAATATAGAATAGAAATAGTAATAACCTTATACGCTGTTGGAAACAATGCAACTTTGTATAGACTATGCCCTCGTCTAATAGTCACGAGCTACGTAATCTTATGATATATATCTGTATATAGCATCCAGTATAATACTCGTCATTAAAATAATGAGTTGGCTATTTTACGTAACAATACAGTTACATTGTGTGATGGCAATAAATTTTCAAACAAAAAAAAAAGTTGTTATTTCACCTACCAATGATGTCAGTACAAGTACACTCGCTCCTATCGCTCGTATCACCCTTTCTTTCTTTAGCAACTATTCAACGATGACAAGCGAACTTCCAGGAAAGTCTGTTGATAGTGGTCCCTTCAAAGTAGACAGTACTATTTTTGCTATCTCTTTCCAATAACGTTTACAAAACTTTGCGTCCAGAATATGATCAAAAAACTTTTCCTAAAAAGCGTGATTCAAGACGCGGAATCAAAGGTATTTAATTAAGTATTTCCTGGATATAATAGATGAGTCTTAACTAATAATTCAGCATTTTAGGCTATCAGTCAAATCGAAGAGAAACTTGAACATGCGATAGACATGGCTTCCGAGGATTTAGACATTATAGAAATAGAACTACCACCCATTAAAACTGAAGAACGCGAAGAAGTTCTCGAAGCTATACACAACGTTTTCAAGCCGAAAGAATTGATAATAAGCTGTTTATCAAAGTAGGTGTCATTTTGCTTGACAACGTATCTCTTATCACCTGATTTATTTTTGTATGATTTAGCGCGACGGTTATATGAAAGGAAAAGTACATAAACGTTTGATGAATTCAATCGACACACAACTTCCAAGTTGGGAGGTGCTGATTGATGTGATAGCTGTAGTTAATATGGATCGAGGTAATGATAGTTTCTTCTGAAAGTATATACCTCTAATTTGATGACCTTATTAAATTGTTAAATATTACAGGTAGCGTTCGATCGGGGTAACGATCGTGATAATGCCTTAAACAAGATTGAATATCTTCTGCGATATTGTCCAAACACAGAGTTTGTGTTGATCGTAATTCCTTATCGATCGCCCTTTCCAGAAAACCCAAAACCCTGATGCTACCTCTGTTGTAGCAACGGCATCCGCAAGAAGTTCTTTAGAAGTGCCATATCTTGGTCATTGGGGCATAGGCGTGGCTTTCGATGCAGCGCTATGGTACACAATGCA